CTTATTTAGGTAACTAAAAAAAATATTGCAAAAATTGCAAAATGGTAGAGGACCTTTCAACTGTTTTTTTGTTATAGGAATAGCATTGATTAGTGGACGTTATTTCAGATACGCTCTGTATATTATAATATGCTTCTATTTGTTTTCTAACAGCATGTTTCTAATATTTTTTAAATCACTTTATTCGTATAAGTTTATTTACACATACTCTCTATATTTTTTGGACTGTAATCTCACTTTAAAGAGTAAAAATTGAATCAGTCTTAAAAAAGAATGGCTCAAATTTCAATCTTTAAGAGTAAAATTTCACTTTTTAGAGATTCACATTAAAATTTATAGAGCATATTATATATAGTACAGAATTATTATATTTGTCGAACGGATTATCACACGTTCACAATTAATAAAGAAATTGAATCTAAGAGTTTAAAAATTATAATATATATCGTGATTATTTTATTTTGTTCTTGCTCTGAACTTGACACATTTTTTTTAATGATTCCCTTGTAATTACTTCGGTCGTAAGACAAGCGTTTTGTTATTCTTTGTTACGATTTGCTGTATTTTTCCGCTTGTAATAAGAAAAAATTGATTATAAAAGAGATTTTACGTTATACATTATTCTTAAGCTCTTTCGCATCGAGAATAAGATTTCAAGGTAATGAAATTCACGTCGAATGGCGTAATCCTCATTCTTGTTGAATCCATTGTCAATAAAGTATAACCCTGGCTGTTGAATTCAGAGTGAAATTCATTTCCGTCGTTCCCTTGTAATTTTCGAAGAAGTGTAGACTCCGTTCTCCATTCAAGGCTGCAGTTAACAGTTCCTCGATGACGTCACAGCTCGTTGTGTCTTCGACCTTGGCCGATGACAATGGCAAACGCCGTCGTTTCTCAGAGATTTCGCGAGCTGTCCCCTCAGGTGATTCTTATGAATAAATTCTCTTCGTCGTTCGCATCAGGAATGCGGAACGCGCGTGGAATAACAATCGCAGATATTTTGTCTCGAATATATTTTTATTATACATACATTAATGAAAATATATACATGGTAGACTGCAGCTTCTCGAAGCAGCGAAGTGTCAATATAATTAGCTACAGTATTCGTACGCGATTCTGTTTCATCTGATTTCTTTTTTTTTTCATTTTTCTTTTCTTTTTCTTCTTTCTCGACGACATCCTCTCGAGCCGAGGTTGTCGAGGTTGTCGGGAGGCACGTGTAGGCCGACACGTGTAGACCATGGATGCTGTTGTGTTGTACGCGAGAAATATTTTTTGGAGTTTTCGTTTATTTCTTAAAATTCATACAGCACAGATCTCCGATGGATGTCCTAAAGACGTCCAGAAGGCGATCCATGTCCGAAGGATATTCTCGGAGCGTCCTAAGGATATTCTTAGAACATGCTGAGGACGTTCCCAGAATATCTCTCAGATAAAGTATGCTGTGTGCCCAGCAAATAAACTGACGTTATTTGTCGTCATTTTGATATCAAAATGACGACAAATAACATCAGTTTGTTTGCTAGGTGGGAATAAATAGCTAATAACGGGCCGACCCGATCCGTTCCGAATCGTTCTCAGTATGTCGCGATTATTACGAGACTGATCGCGTCAATCCGTTGATACACGCAGCGGATACCGAGATACTTTCGCTGACTTCGATTAATATCTTTATCTCTCTCATGCTCTTTTTTTTCTTTCTCACACATGCACCCTCTCGCCCTTTCATTCTTTACTCTCGCTCGCATTCTCTCTCGCTCGTTCCTTTCTTCCTTCCTTCTTTCTTCTCATCCTATTCACAGCCTTCCTATTCAGACCCTAGTCAGCTTTCTCTCTTGCACAGCCAAACACTTGCACGATCACTCAGCGGCATCAACGCTTCGATCTCTTATCTTCTTAATTAACCGTTACAACACGATTCAACGGTGACAACTGCGGATTATTACAATTGATTAAACTGTAAGTGGCGATCATCGAAAGTGTGACGGTACTTCGTTCCCTCGTTCGCGAAAATTCAGACAGATTATCGCAAGTCTGAAGATCGTCCGAGCGAATCTCGCACGTCCAAGTCAAAGGGATTCCCGACAAGGCTCTTCCGTCTCTCGCGGGCTGGTCGAAGTCGCGAGCTAACGCAACGCGATTAACCAACGGACAATGATATCCCGATTGACGGCGGTTTATGGCGGCTAATGTAATAGACGTCTCCGCGAATCTCCTCCGATCGGTTATCGTTGACACGCATTACGACCTGCCGACTCGTCCAGATGCCGCGCTGCATTTTGGTTCAGCCAAACATATCGTTCTACAATTAGCATTACAATCTGTCGCGCGCGGGAAAGCTCGCGTTCGACACGACTACATGGATTAGCTTCGTAACATTTCAGGCACTGCGATTGACTTTGTATTTTGAGTTTAGCTCGTACATCGGACGATGATCAACCGTAAGAACCATTGGCAAAATCCTCTCGTTTCTTACTCGTTTCGATTCAGGTAGTAAGCTGAAGTTGGATACTTTCCAGCAAGAGACATAAATGACACAGTGTAACACAGTGAATCATTACATCCGAATTGTTTGCCGATGTTAAACAAAGATGAAATAATTACTGTGTTATAATGTGGGTGCGTTCCACTTAACGTCCGCAACGCTCGCGTACATCATTTCATCCTTATTTGACATTCGATTACAATGAGGATGAAATGATGCTCGCGAGCATTGCGGACGTTAAGTGGAACGCACTCTATGTCTATTGTTGGAAAGCCATTAGTTAGTCGTCATTTTGACGTTAAAATGATGACAAATAATGTCACCTTGCTACCTGAGGAACATAAATCTCATCCCTAGACGCTACTAATGCACGTTTCTACCAATGAAGATTAATTTTAAAATTGCTTCAACTTACTCTTCATCTTTTTCTAGTTCTAAGAATTAGAAAAAAATCAAGAAGTTGAACCAAGATTTAAGTTAATCTATATTGGTGGAGAAATGGGCATAAAAGATCTGTCCTTTTCAACTAAACTGTGCTTTTTTTATATAGTTCATCTTCCTTCTTTTTCTTTCAACATTGAAAAAAAAAGAAGAGATGAACGGTGCGAGCAGTTCAACTAAAAAGAACGGATCTATTTGATTCATTTGACGCGAAAGAGTTCTGCCCTCTTTTTTCAGAGAATTCACGCGGTTGAATTTCTCGGGTGACCGCAGCGTGACAATTCCTAAGTAGCAAGCTCCGAGATAGAATACAAAAGTTATAAGGACATCATTATGACCTTATTTGTTTCATCACTGACTTATAACTCAAGTAGAATAAAATGTCATTAGGACATCAAAGTGGCTCCAAAATGATTATTAAAAGTCACTTTTCGATCAGTCACAATTAATCTTAACATCATTTTAACGTTAGTTAATTGTGACTTGTTGCTCTGCTTGGATTTATTCAAGCAGAACACAAATCAAAATGGCTCCAAAATGATTATTAATCATATTATATATGATTAAGAGTTACTTTTCCATCATTAACAATACATTTTGATGTATCGTGATTTGTTCTACTTTCACAATCCATGCAGCACAGAAGCTTGCAATAACATAACGTGTGCAATATTGCTGAAACGTTGCAATGTTACTAGAATAATCTGTGCTGTATGGGAAATAAAGCCATGACATCCTTTATGATGTCATTATGATTGTGTTCTACCTGGGCTGGCATTATTTGTCAACATTTTGACGTCAAAGCGACATTAAAGGCGTCATTTTGACGTCAAAACGACGTAGCTTGCTACCTGGGTTCCGTTCGGAGAGGTCGGAAAGAAAGCGCAAACGCTCATATACCGAGATTCGCGAGAGATCGAAAAGCCTTGCGGATAGCGCGCATTATATGTGTACGTGTGTATGTGTCCTGCATCATCGGCGGTTACGTCATGCGCGCGTATAATCGTACATCGCTTATAATTATTAACCTGACTTCAAACGACACGTTTACAATGATCACGTTATTCCACTAGGGATGACATGCAGCGTATAAAACATATCTTATCTATATATTTATTTACTGTTGTATTATATACTAGGTTGCCGCATCCGTTATTTCTGTTACACGCTATATACTTCATATATACGCGGTACGTTTCTTACACGCTACCAAAAGATTAACAATCGATACTTCGTGTTTCTTTCTTCCCCCCTCCCCCCCTTTGCTTAACGCGACGACTTGCTGTGTATCGCGATATTAACCGGGTTTACGATTCACGAATCAAAGACAGAGGAAGGAAAAAAAACGAGGCGCGTTTCGCGTCTGACGGATATTGCACTTCGAAACTGGACCGCTTTTAAAAATTTCGCCCGTTGGTCTTCGACCGGCCATTAACGCGTTCAAAATGCGTCCACGGCTTCTTTAGTAAAAATCTGGCAAGGGTACGCTTCTAAAAATATAGCCAATGTACGTGTGTGTGTGTGTGTGCGCGCGCGCGTATGTATGTGTAGTGTCTTTTATATTCAAAATAAATTATGTCGATTCGAAACCCAAATCCGCCGTCAAGTTCCGTCGCGAGAACTCTCGGAGATACTACGCTGTGGAATTTCTTCGTGTACAATCAAATGGAAAATCGTAATCCACGTGTATAGGGGTTGCTCCGTCTTCCCGTGGTCTATTTCCCGACCTCGGGGAAAGTCACGTTCGACATTTCATGTCTTCTTATGAAATTGCTCGTTCTCTCTTTGCCGACGTTCAACGCGACCGCGAAAGTCCGACGACAAATCGGCTACTTCATCAAACAATACCATGATCCGAGATATGACGGCACCGATGTTACAATCGGGGCCTTTACAAGCACTCGGTCGGAGATTAAATGTCTTTTCTGTTTGTTTTGTTTGTTCTTCACCATCGGGCACATCGTCACTGTAGTCACGGCGTATCCAGGATCAATTGGCGATGATCAGATCGCGCGAAGATCCACCGCTCTTCGCGATACGTCCGTGGCTTCATGATACTGCCGCTATTCCGTTATTTTTTTTTAAACCTAGGCTTAAAAAGTAAAAATGCCAGCGCCGTTCGCCGCCGGCACGAAGTTAATCGGTTTAACACATTAACGCTTTGATTCGTTTTTCAGTCTGTGCTCTCCTAGTCCATGACAAGTTACAAAAAGAAAATAAAACAAAAAAGAAAACAAGATAATAAAACGGAGAATAGAAATAATAGAATAGATGTCCGGGCTGTCGAGGAGAAGTGGTGTTTACGTTTTACACGGGTATTCGAGGATACGATACACGGGCATAAATACCGTCTGCCCGCGAATCGATGTAAAATGCATCTCTCACGCGCCACCGCTATAGGCCGCGCCAGCGGCGGTGGAGTCTTCAAAGACGATACTCGAACGTCCTCCTCCCATTCTCACTCTATCTCGAGTGTCCACGATCACAAATATACGTCGAAATTTTCGTCGTTGAAAGTTGAAAGTTGTGCGCTCTTGATGCGACAAATTCCGCGATACGCGTTCTTCTTCGTTTTTCTCTCTCTCTTCCTATTTTTTCTTCCTTTTTTTTCGTTTTCTTTTTTTAACGAAAGGAAAGAAATTCGTAGGTGTCGCTCGGTAATCACGGTACGCGCGATTCGTTAATACTTTTTAAACAGACACCGAGAAGAAACACTTTCACCGAGCCGTATTTTATCGGTGCATATACGTCTACGTTATACGATAAACGATAATTAATACCCTAAATATTACGACGAGATTCGATTCGCGGTTGCTATACCGTGTTTTGTTTTTTTCTTTTTTTGCATCTTTTTTTCTCGTTTATCAATAGCATTATAGGCAGTGTTCGTTGAGAAACTGCTACGATTACACGTCGAGATTGTGTGTGAAATTCGACTTCTGGATACAATTGCACGCTTGACTCCGTGTTGTCCCTAAAACTACCGTTTCTCTTCCACGTTCCATCGGTAGTACGCGCGCGGGTGCTCATTAAGATATTTATAAGACATTTACGCGTATCTTAAAATAAGTATCTCGTGTTTATCGAGCAACGTAAATCGATAAACTTGCTCGCGTAGCGCTAGGAAAATACGCGTCCGAACGCTAATCAAAATAAGCTCGCTCGCTCTCGAATACGTCGCTCCGTATGTATCGCGAGTGACTCAGAAAACGCGCGGGCGCGTTCATTTCTCTCTGTGGACGAACGCTAAATGAAGATCATAGAAAACGATAATATCGCTAAAGGAAACCTGAGAATTTCTTTCCTTTGCAGACTAACTTTCCGCACGCAATATAAACCGAGATAGTGGCGATGCACTTACTATCGAGATAACGGAGTACAAATAGAAATAATAATAATAATAAGTGTAGTAGTAACAGCGGTAGTAGTAGTAGTAATAGTAGTAATAGTAATAGCAGCAGCAGAGCAGCAGCAGCGGTCATAGTGGTAATTGCAGTAGTAGCATCTGTGTTGATGATGATGACGTACTTCACTCGTTGCATGTGGAGCATGAATCGATTTAACGATTTGCAATTGACAACGAGTCCCGTTCTCACTTATCAATGTGTGATGGGCAACCGGAGCCCTTCCTCCGGTAACCACGAGAGAGAGAGAAAGAGAGAGAGGTCCCATAATCGCCGCAAACAGCGATCACCGATAAAGGTCCACTAATCCCGTGGGTATATATATCGGACGATTTTTTACTTCGGAGTTAGGAGTTGAAGGCAAAATCACAGAATGACGCAGCACCGACAGTATCGTTGTCGCGAGGCTCCTGCGCTGGGTGGTGGAGTCGGCGGTGCAAAATACGCGTGCACTTTTAAGTTCGGTAGATGGGCCTAAAATAGCACAAATAACAAATTTAATATTCTTGAGGCTTTCACGGGTGTTTCCTATATGACAATCTTGCGTTTCGCGGGTTTTCTCCGTATTCAAATCCATTCTTGGAATGCCAACGTTTCAGTATCAGGCTGCTCCTCGCCCTGATGAAGTGGACTGCAAGGTTCACGAAACGTTGGCATTCCAAGAATGGATTTGAACACGGAGAAAACCCGCGAAACGCAAGATTGTCAAATTTAATATTCAATAATCGTAAATTAAGAGCGACAGAAATGACAAGTTCTACCTCTAATCGTATACGATTACTACTTTGTTTCGTACGTTGAAACAAACGGGAAAAAAAGCAAGTCTCTTGAAAGTATATTACAGCTTGATCTATGATAATGTACCGTAAACCGCAGTCGTAAAGTTCTTTACATATGCGATTCATTGTTAAGCGGAAAAAGAAGTATTAATTACAGCCGTCGGACGGAATATCGTAATTACGCGGGATCGTTAGTTTTTGCGGAATGCGCGATTTGTAATACAGTTGCGTGATACGCGCTTAGTTGTGCGCTAAATATAACTCTCCGCGGGGAATACAACCGGATCCCTTTTTCCGCATAACGCATGAATGCCGGAGAATAGGATAAAACGGGACAATACTCTGAGTTTACGTATGCCCTCTCTGGTAATGTGTAGGCAGTCGTAAAGTTCGATACGCTCGAGATTGTGACAGGCCTGCATCAGATGGTTCAGACCGTTGTCCGAGATGTTCGGGCAGTTGTCCAGCTCTAAGACGGCTAGGTGTTCCGCCGCACATGGCGACAGCGCGATTTGTCTGAGGCCTTCGTCGGTGATCAACTCACAATGTGACAGGCTCTGTATTCGGAAATGGCAAAACTCTCAATAAAGGCGAGCGTTTTTGCGAATCGAGAAAGTGCACCGACACTGACTAGGTCATAATCATCGCCTAACGCGAATGTTTCACATTAAATCGCTACTCACTAGTTTCTCCAATCTCGGACAACCCATCGCCAGATGAGTGAGGGTGGCGTCAGTGATTAAAAGGCACTCTTCCAGATCCATCTTCTCGAGCAGTTTGCAGTTCTGAAAGTCGAAAGTCGAATAGAATTACGCGGCTCGGTTGTTTACAGATTCAAACGGTTCGCCAATCAACTCACTCTCGCGAGGGCTTGAAAACCCGTATCCGTGAAATGGGTGCACGCGACGCACTCGAGTACATTGAGAAGTGGACAGTGTTGTGCCAGGCTAATCAACGTCGCGTCCGTTAAATTGGGGCAATTCGACAGGCAAACGTAATGCAGCCGTGGACACCGTTCGCTAAGTTCTCTGACTCCATCGTCCGTTATATTCTGCAATAAGAATCCCAAAATGATTTTTACTTACTAACGCAAATGCCTAGAAAATTTTTAATACTAGAAATATCGAACGGTCATTATTTTTACTCTTTAGATTAATATTAAACATATTTTTTGTGAGATAAGATTCTTTTTTACTTTTTGTTTAGTTATATCTTTCATATTGATGAAATACTTAATTTTTCATCACTCTTTCTTTATTTTCATTACTAATTTATTCACTTGATCCTTTTAGGGAATAAAGAAACGTTGGTATTTCTAATTTTAAGTCACAGAAATAGCTTATCCGAGATATATATTTATGAATCAAACTAAATATATTTTGAATAAATAATTTCTTTTTTTCTATCGCATGAGATCTGTTTGCTAACGAAATATATATATAGACAATTTTTTAAATATTTAATATTTCCTTTTTCTTCTTTTATCTCGCTTTTTATCGACAAAATAAAAATCGTTGACGTCTCTACGCAAACGTGTGTTATTGAATCAAATTGTAAATATTATTGTGCGCAATTTCTTTCTCAACTTTCTCAGTATGAAAAAAGACGAACGTAATTTTATTTCAGCGATACGAGCGGGTCTTATCTTTACGAGGAACACAACGATATCTCATTAACGACAAATCCGCCGCGCGACGACTGTCTGAGGCGCGAGACGCAATTGTTCGTAACACGCGGATTTGCGGAGTCAATGAGATAAGTACCCTGCATTCGTGTAGATTGATCGCTTCGAGATTAGGACAGTAACGCGCTAAGCACATCACGGCCTTATCCGTTAGCTGGCGGCATCCCTTGCTCAGGAAGCTGCGGAGCTCCGGGCAGCCCTTGGCGAGCGCGTCGACCCCGTTGTCGGTGAGTAGCTCACACCACGAGAGATTTATGTGAGTGAGCAGCGGGCAGCCAGCCGCGAGATCCTTCAGGGACATGTCCGTTATCTCGGGGCAGGAGTCCAGATTCAGCCGCTGCAGCTTGGGGCAATGACTGCTGAGGGCCGCGCATGTCGCGTCCGAGATCCTCTTGCACTGACTCAAATTAAGCTCCTCGATATTAGGACATGACTGGGCTAGGGTGCGCATTGAGTTGTTGCCGATGCTTTGGCATCCTTTGAGCGAGAGCTGCCTGAGGAATCCGCCACAACGCCTCGAGATATTTTCTATTACTGGTCCCTACGCAACAAAGTCCCCCCCATCCGATATTAATTGCGAGTCCATCTTTTTGTTTTTTGTTTTTTTTTTTTTTTTTTTTTTCTTTAGATTCGTGAGGGACGATTTCTTTTTTTTTTTATTTACCTCCACGTCTCGTTGAAAATCGAAAAGATCGATCCTCTGCCAATTGGACCCATCGAGGGCCAATACGTTCCAGGCCTTGCTTACTTGGGCACAACGGCATAACGATACGACATCGAGGTACGAAAAAATTCTGTCAATTATAGAGATTCGTTAAAACAACTCGCATGTTATCGCATCCCGCGATTGCCTAACACTTTGCGAACGCAAGGAGGACAATATGGACTTAAGTTTTTCGCGAGGCGTGATAAAACATAACGCTTACGTCTTGTGTACAAATTTTACGTTACAAATCTTAGCATATAAGGTGTCTGTCTCGCATATAAAAAAATTGTAAAGGGCAAATATAGAGCTGTTGCCTATTTCTAAGAATGTATAAGATTAACTTTAATCTTGGTTTGACTTACTTATGTTTTTTTAGTTCTAATACCCATTTCCACTAATGTAGATTGACTTTAATCTTGATTTGATTAATTTTTTCTAGTTCCAATACCCATTTCCAATATAGATTAACTTTAATCTCGGTTCAATTTACTTTTCATCTTTTTCTAGTTTTAAGAATTAGTTAAAGTTAATTTACATTGGTAAAAATAAACGTGTGTCTATTTCAAATATAAATACGACAAATCTAATGCGTTAAGATAAGACGTTTAGAGATTAAAATCTATTCTAATACTATTGAAGAGTACAAGAGAGTGTCAAATTCCTATCTCTCGCTCAATTGTCAAAACTGATAAGTTTCACCGTCTCTTATCGCGACGGGAACGCCAGCAGACGCGGAACGTATACGTTGCAATCAAACGTACGCCGTACCTGAGTAGTAATTCTTTTGGCAGTTTCTTGTTAATCTGCGCCTCGTCATCATGAAACACCCATGTTAGCTGCAACGAAAGACAGGTGATTAAATATGATCTGAGCACGACATGAACCGGGCCGCGCTCGCGTTATCGTTCGCATGTCCGACGAACGTTCACATGTCCATTTCTACCAATGTAGATTAACTTTAATCTCGAGTTAATTAACTGTTTATCTTTTACTAGCGCTTAGAACTAGAAAAAGATAAAAGAAAAATTAACTTTAATCTCGATTTAATTTACTTTTTACTTTCTTCTAATGCTTAGAATTAGAAAGAAAGATAAAAAGTAAGTTAAACCGAGATTAAAGTTAATCTGCATTAGTAGAAATGGACAACAGAGAGGAGTCGAACAATCCGTCTCCGTTGTACGTATACATTGGCGGGGATAGATGAAGGTACGAGGAAAAAGGAAAAGGGAGTTGGGAAGAGATATACAGAGAGATGGGACGCAACGTTAGACATACGCTTTTCATAGCGGGACATGAGAGAGGCGCTGGGAGGAGCGGCGTATGGTAAAGCTCTAGCATTGACATGCTCGGACAGAGATGGACAGAGATCTCTAGATTAACTAACCTGCATGTAGGATTGCTTCATGGTAGTGACAGGGTTGTGAGTATGCGATTGCGTGTAATAACCGCCCTGATGATGATAATGTTGTTGATGATGATGATGTTGGTGATAATGGTGATGATAGGATGGATGCTGCTGCTTCCACCATTGTCCACCGGTACCGCCGCTTCCTTTTTCCGTCTCCTCGACCAATACCGCTTGTATTGCTCCGACCCCTTGGCCCCCTCCTCCCACTCCTAACTGTTGGAGACTTACTTTTTTCTAAAAAAACATCCCAATACGTGTCATCTCCGTCGCGTTGACACCGTCACGCCGCGTAAATGCTTCGTGTACACGCGACAAACGGAATCGCGGCCTTCAGAGTAGCGTTCCCCCCCTTTTCGTTCTGTTACATTCGAAATCGGAAGATTTCACACAAGAACGAGGTCCATAGCTCCGCAGCTCCGGTCCGTCCACGATTTATTCGCGAGATCCTACTTGGACCTCGTCAATAATGAATTCGTTGCTTTCAAATTCTCGATTTCCAATTTGCTTATCATACTATTATTATAACTTCTATTTAATATGCCAATCGTCCCAATTTTCTTATTCGCTTAATTTTACACTGACAATAACGTAATTTTTTATTAATTATAACAGTTACATTACGGTCTCGAGCGATTCTTACATTTGCTAAATCGTAGAGGCACCTACGACCTCGCCGTGTTCCAGTTATATGCCGACTTCCTTTCGCACGTACTAATCGCCAATTAATGATTCATCGTCGATCTCGATGTGAACAATAGCGTATGCAAAGTCGGAATTCAAATGATTGCGTTTTTCTGATGTTGTTCTGACTTGAAAGTGATACTGCTGTTAATTCGCAAGTAAACGCTGTCGTGTTCGAGCAAAAGCGAGCGATTTCCAGTCGTGGTCATACACACATACATTCATACACACATCACTAATGCAGTCCACATTTTGCTGTATTGTGCAAAAATTGTTATTATATTACTACACGTAAAAGGGACTTGAAATGTACTCTAAATATTGTTATATATATTTATTCGTGCACAATAATCGGTGGATTTCTGTCAAATGATTTTCTTTTTCAGACAAACTCTACGCCACTGAACGTATTATCGCGATATCATCCTTTATTTAATTAGTGTGGAATGCTTTCTGCCCAGCTATCCTCATTTAATTCTCATCGAAAAGCTATCGTGTGACTGAAGGTGGGGGGGGGGGGGG